CACAACACATGACATATGTGTGTTCAGGAGAAACGGTAACTAGTTGTCACATAAGAGGACTTAACAGTACCATGTGCTGTACGCAGTTCATCCCAAGTTTGCTTGGGAATCGGGTGACCGTCTGTGCTGATAATTGCCTTGATCTGGAGGAGAGACGTGGCTCTCACGTCTTTATGGCAGATGGTAGGTTTGCAGTGTGACTCCAGGTGTGCAGTGAAGTTAGGCTCCCATCCTCCCAGCAAAGTGGGACATGGTGCCTTGTCTGTTCCTTGATGACTGCATTACAAAGAGACAGCTTCCTGGTCCTGAGGAAACATCTTGTTTGTAAAATTGGCAAAGAGGCTTACTTCTCTCTTAAAAGGGCTTACAGACATTTCAAAGAGGCAAAGAAGTATGCACAATTATTAGTTCTGTAAGGAATATGCTCAAAGAAAAAGGAGGATGGTCCCTCTCTCTCCCTTTATATCTTGTCTCAGGATGTCCAAGAACCTCTACACCAGTGGTTCTCAACCTATGTGTCATGACACCTTTGGGTCTCATATCAGATATCTTGTGTATAAGATATTTACATGAAGAGTCAAGACAACAGCAAAATTACAGTTATGAAGTAGCAACGAAAATAATTTTATGGTTGGGGGGGTCACCACAATGTGAGGAACTGTATTAAAGGGTCGAAACATTAGGGAGGTTGAGAGCCACTGCTCTACACCAACAGTATCGGCATCACCTGAGAAGATTAGAGAGACAAATTCTCAGGTTCTAGCCCAGACCCTCTAAATCAGACATACTGAAAAAGCTCTGGAGAAGACTGAAAATATTTGTTTTACTTGAATTAAAATATCCCTACAGTTTTGTATATGGTAGATAGTCACAGGCTCAGCTAGCATTTGTTACCCTCAATTAGATCACCAGAAATATATATATATATATATATATATATATATATATATATATATATATATATATAAAGAAGATATTAGGTAAGCTCAGTTTAGCCAATTAGTATACTATAAGGACATATAATAGAGAACAAAAGTAAAAGCATTATGCACATACATGTATGCATATATAATGCACATAAAATGCACACATACACATATACACACAGATACTATACAATACATATTTATTCATGTGTGCATATATACATATATACATGCACATCTGTACATATTTATGGATATATATGTACATAAACATATATTCATATATACAATACATAGGCAGCATTTGTCTTCATTTGTCTGTAGAGTGTATTTTATAATTTAATATATGAGGAAGAGTTGGCTAATTTTTTGCTAAATCATGAGACACTCAAATTAAGTAAAGCTATAAAAGACTAACTCAAGAAAAATAAGATGATTGCTTTGTTTTCTCATCTGGACTGTTAATTAATCTGCTGTCCACTAGGGAACATCCTTGTCTTTCATCAGTACTTCTCACTTTTGGATGCAATTGGAAATTCCTGAGTAAATATATTAAGAGCAAAATCATAGCAGAGACGGAAAGCAGCAGGTGAGGAGAAGCTGTGAGTTCACTCGCTGAGCCCATACATCCTAAGGCAGTGGTCTCCTTCTCACAGGGAGAAATCCTTCTAAGGATGTCTCAGAGGAGGCCCTAGGTCAGGCCCTGGGCACTAGGGATGGGACAAGTTATTTGGAGCCTTTTGGATTTCTCACTGAAGTCTTCCCTTGGGGAAGAAGTTTTAGAGTACTGATTTGATCTGTTCCTGAACTACCCCTAAGAAGTTGGCTCTCCAGGGCTGCTGAGATGAATGCCATTTGTAACACAGTAGAATCTTCCCTGGAAGCTTGCCTGAAGTGTGGCTGGTTAAGCTTGATTTCTCTAGAATTCTAATTGTTGCCATAGTGGACACTTTCTAAAGTGCCCTGGGTCCACGAGTCCTCTGCTGTCACACCATCACAAGGTTCTGGATGTTGTGACTTGAGTCTTGCCAAGAAGAACTAGACTAGAGCAGCAAGTGTGAGTTGCTGGAAGTGTGATTCTTGGCAATGGGGAGAAGAAACATGGGCTTATGGGTGAGCCTGAAGGGTCCTGGGGATGGAAGGAGACTCAGAAACAAAGACCTCGACAAAGACAATGTTAACACTGGTAGGGGCAGCTTCTAAAACAGAAGGTTGAATTCTACAGACCCGTACTCCTTGGGAAAACCCACCTTTCCCTTTCAAGCAATTTGAGAAACAAGGTGACTGAAGTCTGTGGACAGTACAAAGAATCACTGAGGCAGTGTGTCGAGGGTCTCCTTTTCTTTGAAAAGTTTGCCCAGAGATATCAAGAAGGACTTCATAGAAGACAAACACTTCAGGCTAGAGTATAAGAGAGCTGTGCAGTCCAGAGAAGGCCACAGCCCTTTAGACCAGCCTGCAGAAGGAGCAGCAGTGGACCCACTTGATTCCAGACGTGGAATGCCACTGACTCAGGCCTGCCCTTTTGGTTCATATCTTCAAGTCTATACTTACCTAAACCCCTAAATCGAGTAGAAATTTAAGTGATTGTTTAGAAGAGAGAGAGAGAGGCATAGATATTTTGATTTCTATATGTTATTTTATTCTCTGTTAGGTTTACTAAATGTTGATGCTAATTTTGAAAAGGAAGGAGAACACGCAATCCAGAAAAATGCTGGCAACATTTAGAACTATGCCCATCAAATCTCTGGATGTCAGTTTATTTTTAAAAATTATCATCTGCCACTCTCAAGGGGTCTTACTGAAATGAAAGCAAACCTGTGAAAACCATTGGAAGACTTTTTCCCCCCCAGCAGAATCTGTTTTACATATAGAAGACTGCACTCGAACAAGACATTTTGCATAATATTTAATTAGTGGATGTTTGCTTGGTAAAGCCTGATGTGACCCGTGAAGTAATCAAAAATAATTATGGGCACAAATTGCATATGCAAAATTGGGACCCAGTAGGCATCCACATCCACTCTGCTTATACCCCAGGGGATTGCTGGTTCCTGACAATAGGGCTGTCTGCAGCCTCCACTGTGTGGCAGTTGCTGCCTCTCTCTTTGCTTCGGTGCCTTCCTTCCAAACAGCAGAGAGATTTTTAAAAAAATAAATAACTTCACAATAGCAGAGGAGGAAGGGAAATCAGAGCTGGCAGAGGGCCTTCTGAGCTTCTAGCTAAAGCATTTCATTGTCTTCACTCATTTGTGCAAATCAGATCTTGCTCCTTGTCTGAGAGACAGCAGGGTCTTTCTTCCACTAGACTGAAGGTTCCTTGAGACTACCAGCCTTGTCTTATCTGAAGGTGTTTTGGACCTTGGGGATGCAGTGTGCTTTAAGGATCTGGAGAATATAGCTGAAGAGCTGTGATTGTATCATAGGGTGACACTCTTGAAAAATAATTTTGCTTTGCATTTACCTACATGAAGTCCTGTCTTATTGTTTACTTGAGGCGTCTTCCTACCAATTAGGAGGTTAATAAGAAGGATGCAAAGAGAAAGTTACTATTCCAATTTGCATATTTAAAGTAAGATGTTTTCCCTTTCAGATCAGTGTTAAGTTAAAAGGATATTTATCAAGAAAGGAAAAAGTTCCTCCAAACTCTTTCCTTTCCCGACTTCTCTTAACAGTGTCAGGAGGCTGACAAAGCATGCTAGGTTTCCCCCCATGCTTGATGGGTGGGGCATAAGACTTGTGACCAGGAGAGGACCATTTATAGAGGTAGCAGATAGTCAGTCTGCTCCTGCTGTTGGGGGTCATGGGGGGCTATCCTCAGAAGACAGGGGGTAGGGAGGTGAAGAAGGGCTGGTTTTCATCTTCATTTTCCCATCATGCCCGCTGTAAATGGGAAGTGTGTATGCACATGTGTGGAGCATGGGGTGCATATGTAGGGTTCTGCTATGGATTTAGTTCACAGGTTGGCCTTGTAACATGGATAGGCCTAAGGAAGCCTCTGGTTAGCCTTCCCAAATCTCCCTTAATTCTCAAGTGGTCAAAAAGGTTCAAAGAGATCTTCAAGTCTCTAGGGCCAAGCAGCTATTAAGCTTTGCAAAGCCCGACTAGGGAGGTTGGTAGACAAAGCTTGCTTCAGTGGACAAAGCATGTCATGTTGCAGAGGACAACAGGGCAGGGATTCCTGCTTGGGTCTCAGTTCTGCCATCAGGAATCCATGATGGCTAGGCTGACAGACCCGCTGGATGCCAGCTACAGACTTGACCAGCAGCAGAGTGCCTATAGAACATGGTCATACCCCTGTGGTCTTCAGGAGATAGCCCAGTCACAGCAGCAGATCTCAGGCTACATTTTTTTTTTTTTTTTTTGGTTTTTCGAGACAGGGTTTCTCTGTGTAGCTTTGCGCCTTTCCTGGATCTCGCTCTGTAGAGCAGGCTGGCCTCGAACTCACAGAGATCCGCCTGACTCTGCCTCCCGAGTGCTGGGATTAAAGGCGTGCGCCACCACCGCCCGGCTCAGGCTACATTTTAAGGACACCAGTGGCTTTCTCCCACCTGCCTCCCCAAGTCACATGATCCACAGTCACCCCCTTGCTCCCTTCCTTGTCCTGTGGTGTAATTTTTAGGAGAAGCATGGGGAAGCATCAGACTTCAGACAGTTTGACACATGGAGAGTTTATGACATAGTCCAAGAAGAGATGTGATACCAAAAAGACCCAGTAACTGGGTTAAACAAACATTTCTTTTTTTAAAAATTTCTTCTTTCTTTCAATTAGATGAAAGAAAGCCTGCGAGAAAATCCAGATCAATTACAGAAGAATAAAAAGGCTATTTGTTTTTTTACGTCTGAGGACAGTGTAAGTGAATATTGATCCTGCTTCGGTATGTGACTTTTGTTTCCTAAACTTCTTTAGGAATGAATATTTCCTAAGCTTCTTAGGAAGCTTCTAAATTAGATCTGCCTTTACAGAGGCTTGCCCTATCACATTGGAGGGGAAATGGGAAAGGAACTCCTTTCTGGATGACCACAAAGAGCTGACAAGGGTGGGTGGGGGGGGGGTGGGGGAATGAGAGAGCACTTGTGGGTTGGATCAGAGCTTCTAGTGAGCAGATTTGCACAAATACTATATCTCTTAGAAGATCTCTGCCTCCCAGTGGTCAACCTAAATGTTTCAAGGTGTCCCCAGAGCTGAGGATAAAAGCCATCCTGAATTTAACTTTGCAGCTGAGAAACACCAAAGCTGTCCTCAACAACTATGGAAATGAAACAAAGTCTTTACCCCTAGCAAATAGTGAGCTTTCCAAGATACTATGTGTATGTTTATTCAGCTTTAAATAATACTTAAAAATTTAACTGACTTTTGTTGCATTTGTTCTTTGACAGTTTCATCCGTGTATAAAGTACATCCTGATTACTGTAACTCCCGCCCACTCTAATCTCCTTCCCAACCCTATTAACAACCCCCCATAATTCCTTCCTAGTATTCATGTTTCCTGTGTTTCTTTGTTTTGTTTTTTGGACTCACTGAATTTAACCAGGGTCATCTGCCTGACCATGGGTTTGGAACTGTCCACTGGAGCCTGATGGGTGTCTCAGTGGGCACTCAACTAAAGACAATGACTGCCTGTCCCTCAGAGCCCATTAGCGTCCAGTATTTCAGCAGGGAGGAATACAGAATGTGGGCCACTCCACAACCCAGGATTGAAAGCAGATGTTTTGAGAATTAGACATAGCATAGACCTGGCTAAACCTTTCCATGTAGAAACACCACCACCAATATGAAAATGACTAGGAAAATAGAACAATCAGGCTTTTCTTAGGTGGACATTAAGTCTAGACCTTGGGGTTTAGTACACACTGGCTACAAGGGGAAGTTATGTGAGAGGAGCCATCAAGTGACTCTTGTGCTTAGAATCATGTGTCTGGAGGACATGGGTATGGGCCATCTGTTTCCCTGTGCCAGGAATGTACATATCTTATTATTTAATCTCCCTGAATATATTTGTGAAGCAGAGAATTTCAGATTGATTTTATAACTGAGTATCTAAAAATTAAGGTGATTTTCCCAGACTGCAGTAAATGGGGAGGGTGACAAATTCAAAACTAGATCTGACACATGATCACATGACTCCCACTCTGTTTCCTATGCTTTCACTGCTGACACTTAGGAGGGGAGAGGAAAAATCTAAAAAAAAAAAAAAATCCCACAAAGATCCTCCTATGCAGAACAGATCTCTCTTGTATTTTCCTCTTTTTTTTCTTTTTCTAGAAACAAAGTATTTGTCCTCTCCTCTGGACTGAACAAAATGGTTGCTAGGGATATGGGTACTTTATTTTCGTTTTCTCCATACCCAGAATTGAACGTACAGCCTTGAGCATGCTAGGCAAGCATTCTATCACTGAGCTACACCATCAAACCTCTTTTTATAAGGCAGGGTGTCACTAAGCTGCCTGGGCAAGCCTTGAACTTATGATCCTCCTGTTGTAGCTACCTGAGTAGCTTAACAATTTATTGCTCTTATCCAAAACACACAACAGAATGTTTGACAGACATGCTTAAGCCTTTCACTGGTTGATTGAGTAACCATAGGCAACTGGAACCCAGAAAGCATACTGATGAAGACATGTAGAATGTTTCTTGAAGATATATATGTTTACTGATGTAACATTGACTCACTTGGAAAACTCACTGTTTTTTTTAAATAATGTTATAAATGACTTATGAGATTATTTGATATTCACATTAATTATGCTATAGTGTTGTATACACAATAAAAAAGTAGGAAATGTGAAAGAACATTTCTCTTGCTAGAGTGATCATTGCTAGAATTTTCTGAATTGCACAATCTTCCCTTTTTTTTCCTTCCTTCCCCTCCCTGACTCAGCATTCATCCCCTCCTCTAAAAGGGTAAGCTCTCTCATGGGGGGACAGCTAAACCTGGTACACTCAGTTGAGGCAGGACCAAGCCCCTCCCTGCTGCATCAAGAGTGAGCAAAGTGTCCGATCACAGGTAATGGGATCCAGAAAGCCCGCTCATGCACCGGGGATAGATCCTGATCACACTGCCAGGGGCCCATCAAACAGACCCAGCTACACATCACTCTGCCATATGCTGAGGGTCTAGTTCAGTCCCACGCAGGTTCTACAGCTGTCAGTCTAATGTTCATGAGTTCCTGTGGGCTTGGTTCAGCTGTCTCTGTAGATTTCCCTGTTATGATCTTGACCTCTCTTGCTCATATAATCCATTTTCCCTCTCTTTGACTGGAATCCTGGAGCTTGGCCTGGTACATGGTTATGGATTTCTGCATCTGCTTCCATCAGTTACTGGATGAAGGCTCTATGATGACAGTTAGGGTATTCGCCAATCTGCTTATCAGGGTAGGTCACTTCAGGCACCCTCACCACTATTCCTAGTAGTCTAATATGGGGTCATCCTTGTGGATTCCTGGGCATTTCCCTAGAACCAGGTTTCTCCCTTACCCCATAATATCTCCCTCTATCAAGATATCTGTTTCATTGCTCTCCCGCTCTGTCCTTCCCCTAGCTCGACTGTCCCATTCCCTCGATGTTCTCATCCTGCATCTTCTCCCCTCTAATGCCCCTTACATCCCCAGTTTACTCACGGACATCTCCTCTGTTTCCCCTTCCCAACGTGATCTGTACATCTCTCTTAGGATCCTCCTTGTTACCTAGCTTCTCTGGAGCTGTGAGTTATAGTCTGATTATCCTTTGCTTTACATCTAGTATCCACTTATGAGTGAGTACATAACATGTTTATCCTTCTGAGTCTGAGTTACCTCACTCAGGATGATATTTTCTAGTTCCATCTATTTGCCTACAAATTTCATGATGTCATTTTTTTATAGCCGCGTAATACTCCATGGTGTATGTATACCACATTTATCTATTCTTCAGTTGAGGGGCATCTAGGTTGTTTCCAGGTTCTGGCTATTACAAATAATGTTACTAAGAACGTAGTTGAACAAGTGTCCTTGTGGCATGATTGAGCATCCCTTGGGTATATGCCCAAGAGTGGTATCATTAGGTCTTAGGTAGATTGATTCCCAATTTTCTGAGAAACCACCATACTGATTTCCAAAGTGACTGTACAAGTTTGCACTCCCACCAACAGTGGAGGAGTGTTCCCCTTATTCCACATCTTCTCCAACATAAGCTATCATCCGTGTTTTTGATCTTAGCCGTTCTAACAGGTGTAAGATGGTATCTCAGAGTTGTTTTGATTTGCATTTCCCCCGATGACTAAGGATGTTGAGCAATTCCTTAAATGTCTTTTGGCCATTTGAGATTCTTCTGTTGAGAATTCTGTTTAGATCTGTAGCTCATTTTTTAAATTGGACTGTTTGGTGTTTTGCTGTCTAGTTTCTTGAGTTCTTTATATGTTTTGGAGATCAGCCCTTGTCAGATGTGGGGTTGGTGAAGATCTTTTTTTATTTTTATTTTTTATTTTGTGGGAATGAGACCTTCAGAGTCAGAATGGGAGCAGGAAACCACAAGTGGGCAGTGTTTGGGGCTCAAGAATAGCATAGAAGGTAATTAACCTGGAGTTCTACAGCGGTTACTATCCAGAAAGGAAATGTGTGTGTGTGTGTGTGTGTGTGTGTGTGTGTGTGTGTGTCTATGTAAACCGAATGAACTGAAGGAGAGGTGAAAATGGGAGCTCGTGGGTAACCTGGTTACCTAGGTCCCATTGTGCTACCTAGGGTCTTTTGCATATCTGTAAGCAGGCCTTCTTCTACTGGTGGACTTATAAACTAAAGATGGGAAGTCTGAATATACAGGAGGCCTGCAGAGACGAGCTTCTATTTGGATGGCATTTTTCCGCCTGGACCATTTTCAGGAGAGAACCACATGGTGGCAATGTTGCATCATTCCTCACAAGCCCTTTGCCAACTGCCTAATTCCAGGTAAATTCAATTGCTAGGCAATAAATTGGAAGATGATGTTGGTTTAACCAGTGAACATTGTGCTCATTTTTGGTACCAATGATTGTGTTTTTTCCATGATAGAATACATTTCTACCCCTTGTTAGAACACTTGTGTAATTCCAGTAACAAACATGGACTCTGTCTGAAGTCAGGTCACACAGACCTGTTTTTCCCAACACAGACTAATTGGTTTTATTCCATCCAGCCAACACCTGCTTGAGAAGAGTACCCAGTGTCACACAACAAACCACCCACCCAGAAATAAGGAAGCTGTCAGAATCTTGGCAAAACCTCCTTTTGCCAAGCTGGGCTCCCAAATGAGGCCTTAGGACGTATCCTAGTGGGTTCTCTTGAAGAAAACTCTGCCAATGTAAGTTTCTGTATACAGATATTCTGTTCGGGGTTGTGACGTGTTCTTATGTAAATGACATTGTTTGGGATCTTTCCTCTATTAGGTGTCTGCCTTTGACAACATGCTCCAACTTCTGTCCTTTGGTTTCTAATCATGGTGGAAAAGAGACGAACTCAAGTGCCACAGGGATTGGCACCTTCCTGGGGGTGACGGGCTTAGATCAGATGCTGATTTACACTCAGTGGTTATGGATGTTAGAGTTGCCCTCAGTGTGAAGGAGGTGGATTCATGTAGGAAGTCTAGGGGAAGTGTGCCACTCTCTGAGCTTCTCGGAGTTACCAGATTTTCAAATCACTCGGAGGACTTGCTAAAACAACTCCCTGGGCCCAAGCCCTAGCTTGTAATTCTGTGCTGCAGAGTCATGGCCCGAGGGTGAGCCTTGCTAACCAGTTCCCAGGTCATGGGGACCCTGGGGCAAGTGACCCCTCTCCTCAAAATGGAGGCAGCTGCTGATTCTCATTGAAGTGCATGGAATGGAGAGAAATGCTACTTCATGGAGATAAGACTTGCATCAGGGTCTAAAGATGAGGATTCAAACACAGACTCTATACACGAGAAGCTGGTTATAGCATCTAAACTTGGATTGTGCTCAGTGCTGGGATTCAGTCCTGGTTCTGCTGATTAACATGGGGGCCTTTCACAAATGACTTAACTGCTCATTCTTACTCCTCATGAGTGAAAAAAAGGTCATTATTGGGGTTGGAGAGATGGCTCAGCAGTTAAAGAGCACTGACTGCTTTTCTAGAGGTCCTAGGTTTGAGTCCCAGCATTTATATGGTGACTCACAACCATCTGTAACTCTTGTTTTTGGGGATCTGACATGTTCTTTTGGTATCCATGGGCACCAGGCACTCAGGTGGTGCACAGACCTACATGCAGGGAAAACACTCATACACATAACATAAAATATATTTTTAAAGTCCATTATGTCAGTTCTTTTGGAAGTAAAATATTTGATACAAGGCTGTTTGATTCAGGATTTTCTCTTCCCTTTCTTTTTCTCAATTTCTATGCACACCTGAGATCACCTTGTACCGTATAAAGCACTACCGCTACATGAGTTAACATTACAGAGAACTCGTCACGACAAGCCTTCCAGGATCTGCTAGATGGTTGTCTTCTGTCCACTCTTATTTGGTTGAAATCACTGGGAAAAAACTGTGTTTGCATAATACATCTAGAATATGGGACAAAACCCTGTACAGCTCCCAGAATCCTCTCCAGCACCTTTTCCAGATTGGCAGAGTGAACCCTGCTTTTCTTTGTAGCTCCCTCACCCCGACTTTGTGAAGATCAGGAGAGAAAAGAGTCCCCCACTTGCTAGGCAATTCCTCTGTGGCCGAGCTTCACCACCAGTCCCCCAATTTTAACACTTTTTTTTTGGTTTTTCGAGGCAGGGTTTCTCTGTGTACTTTTGGTGCCTGTCCTGGGTCTCGCTCTGTAGACCAGGCTGGCCTCGAACTCACAGAGATCTGCCTGGCTCTGCCTCCTGAGTGCTGGAATTAAAGGCATGTGCCACCACCGCCCAGCTCCCCGTAACACTTTTTAAAGAGACAATATGTCAAGAGTTGATTAAATGCGTGTGATTCAAGTCATGGGATCATCTGGATCCATTTCCAGGTCATACCACCCATGACTTGAAGATGTAAAAGACCCAATTGCATTTCTGCTTATAAGTATTTGTACAACCTGGGTTTTTCATTTCACGTAAACTCAGTTTTCCTTTCTGTGAAATGGGTTTGAAGGAGGTCAGGCTTCTTAAATCCCATTCTTATTTATTTATTGATTGATTGATTTTTATGATGTGGACCCACATCTCTTACCAGATTCTGACTGAGAACTGTGTCCCTAAAATTTCTAGCCTTCGGTTTTTCTGAAGCACATACTCAAGTCTGACCTTGTGTTTGTGCAGTGATGCTAAGGTTCTCAAGTGAGTTTTCACTGCACCTGTGCAATCAATCACCTAGTTCTTCAGTGTTCTGCAGACACTGCTTGTGAATCATACCACAAAAGGAAGTAAACTTCATAAACAATTGTGAAAAGTGAAGAAGGGGATCAGTGGCCTAGGAAAGGATAAAGTCACGAAAAGACTGGTTATATCCCTGTCGGAAACTAGGTGTCCATGGTAGACTGAGAATTGATCTGATTTAAAGCGACAGGCACTCACTAACTCAAGTCATCTGAGACTGATGCAAAAACTGGAAGGCCGCCGATGTGAGTTTTTAAAGTGAGAGGGACCTCCTGCCCCCTTTCCAGCTGGCACTCCATCATCATCGGTGGTGTGCTGAGTGGGGACTCAGAGCCAAAGGGGGCAGTTTCCAGGAATATTTCCTTTGAGTCAAAGTGAGGTTCCAATTAGCAAACACCATTGATTATATTTCCATAGGGAAGCAGGGAGTGCTTTCTGTCCTACCTGTTCAGTTTTGTTTGTCTGTCTGTCTGTCAGTCAGTAGACATCCTTATTTTTCTGTTTTTTAGGAGCATGGTTCACTCTGCCCCCAGATACGCTTTAAAAAGCCAATTATTTTTGTTTATGAAAATATCCTCAGCCACTATTGTGTGCTTTTTCTATTCACAATGCCCTTTAGATTGTTAATGCATGTTGCAAGCAACTTCTGTGTCTAACCTCATATAACCTGATGCTATACATCATTATTCTTGAGTTTCTTTCAACTATTTCAATGAAATGGAGGTTTTTTGTTCAAGTAAACTTTTTGTCAGTTCTTCTCACCATAAGAACTGTGCCTACAAGAAGTTTCTTAGTCTATAAACTGAAGATGTCCCCAAGGATGTTTCTAGCCCCATGACGTTGACCATTTCTTCCTCTCCCACTGATAAGACTAAAAAATATCTTACTAGTTTGGAGATCCTTATTACCCTGCATAGATCATACACATATATTACACATATATTATCAGGGGAGTTTAGAGAACTTGACACCTAAGGAGACATTTTATAAATTTTGTTTCAGTAGTTGTCATGAAACCCTATATATAATACATGGTGAGCATTTACATCTTAGCAAGCTTGTTGTATTTACATATTTACACAAAATTATCCAAAGACATTTTTCACCATTCAAGGTGATCTGTTCAGCCACTCCCATCTGACATACTTATATTGTGATTTGATTTTGAAAAATTACCTAGTTTGTCAGAAATGCACAGAGCACAGAAAAAGAAAGTGACTTAGAATTCATGTGGCCTCATCCTTAGGAGGCTAGTGATGCAAACAAAATCTGAAGCAAAGGATTTTGGGAGCTCAAAACAGGATGGCAGATATAATTGGCTTCCCAGCCTCTTCCTCCACTGCATTCATCTGAGATTTTGTTAAAGCTGAGTAGGGAGTTCCTACATGCAACTTGTGATGCTTGCTTTTTCAGCCCCTTCCTTCTCTTCGCCTGCTTTCCACCCTTGGTGATGGACCTGCTCCAGCTGCTTGGGTCATCGCCTCCAGGTACCCTCCTTTGATTGGCTGTAAACACCAGTGTTTTGGATAAAAAGGCAAAATTTATTCTAAGGCATACATAATTGACTGTGGTGTCATATATGATCTATCCTGTCTGACATTTGCATTTTAACAGAAAAAAAAATCAAAAGGATACTTTTCTGCTTCTAGAATTTTAGATCATAGAAAAATGGTAGATGAAATTTTGAGGGAGAGATGGTCGGGGCCTGGGGAACTGCCCTGTCTCCTTAGCTCAGACTTTGTCTCACATTTCTAGGTCTGCATTCTCTGCATTTGTTTCTAACTGTGAAGTTGATATAAATAACACAAGGGTTCCTGCCACCCCTTTGAGATCAAGCATGCATTAACCTCTGGAGCTGTTTTATAGTAATTAAGTGATAAACCTCTCTGAGGCTTGTGTATGTATCCACAGCTTTTGTCCTTGATTAGCAAGGGAATGAGCTGAGGATGTAATTAGCCATCAAAGGTCCTAGGTTCAAGTTTACATCAGTAACTATTCTGTATTGAAGGAAGGAAGGGAGACTGCTACCCACTGGTGTATGGCACATGCACAGTTTTAATTTTATCGCAAGTTGGAGATGAATCCTTTCATTTCTAAATTCTTTCATTTCTAAAACCAGGCCATGCTGCAAGCTGACCCTACGGGAGGGCCTAGGCTTGGCTGGGGAGTGAATGATGAGTGACACTAACCAAGAAATGCCTTGACCGGAGATCCAGTTGCCTTTGCCCCTAGACAGGCATTGTTGAATGCCTTTACTTGGCTATATGGATGGGATTGTATGGTTGTGCCCCATCATTGGGAAATATATTCAGAAATAGCACCTTTTTTTTTTTTTGTAAAGAAGAGCTTCTTAACCCTCACTGAGTAATTATTTAATATAGCTGATGCTCTATTCTAAGTACTGAGTACTGGATTATATATTGAAGGAAATACTAAGATTGACAAGAAATGGTTTTGGCCATCCCAGAGGTTAAAGTCAGGACACATTAGCAAGCAAACAGAATGTTAGGATGTATTTAAGAGATTGATTATTTCTGGGAAAGCTTTTGGAAGAGGCATTGAGGTGGGCCTTGAAGAATAGACAGGAGTTACCCAGATGGAGGGACAGAAGACAACAATGGGAAGAAACAACCCCATAAAAGCTGGAATCTGAAATGTGCTCCCATAGACTCATGTTTTGAGTGCTACTCTTTGGTGGTGAGTGAGATTTTAGGAGGCTCTGGTGCCCTTAGAGAGTGGGGTCTCCTGGTTCAAGTAAGTCACTAAGGGAAGGACTTTGAGGGTTTGTCTTGCTCCTGATACCAAGCTATGCTAGCCGCTTCCTGTTTACTAGCATGACAACAAGCTTCAACCTTCAATTTCTTCCAGGATGAACTGAGCCACCCTAGATTTTCCTCACTGCAATGGATTGTAACTTCTGATATCATGAGCCAAGATATATCCCTCCTCCTTTAGGTTGATTCTGACAAGTATTTCATCATAGTTATGAGAAAAGTGACTAACACCAACCTAATATATAGAAATATCTGGAACACAAAGTGGATGACCCATGGATAGTATAGAACAGGCAAACAGAATACTAGAAGACAAGATTGAAATAGTAGACAAGGGTCAAAAGGGAGCTTGAAGTCATGTGAAGAAGTTTGAAATATACTTTCTAGGCAAAAGGTCAAAAGGGGCCCTTCAAACAATTTCATTTGGGAAGGAGATGAATTGGAATAAAACCACAATCTGAGAAAAACGTTTGTGAACATTGTGAGTGGTGGCTTCAGTAGTGATGAAGCAGTAGTGATGGATAGGTTGGATGACGTCACGGTTGAGGTAGGAGATGAGGGGATCCAAACTCAGATATTTTTAGTGAATGTGAAGGGAAGGGGACACATGGAGAAGGTGATTAGTACAGATGGGACAAAAATATCATAGTACAGCTCTAAATGTGGGGGGTAGTATGGCAGGAAAAGTAGAAAAATATCTCTTAAAGAGGAACCAAAGATGCCATAGCAATTTCCAGAGAGAGAGAGAGAGAAAGAGAGAGAGAGAGACAGAGACAGAGAGACAGAGAGAGACAGAGAGAGACAGAGAGATAGAGACAGAGAGACAGAGACAGAGAGAGACAGAGAGAGAGACAGAGACAGAGAGAGTGAGAGTTCTTTAAATTAAAGACTTGTATAATACATTTTAGACTTATTTCATCTTTGAACCCCTGTAACCTTTTTATTGGGAACCACATGACTTGGTATTAAATTACAGTTTTCTTCTATCTTGTAAAGTCAAAATATAAAACAATGCCCAAGATATAATATATTAACGCTCCTATTGATACTGATAAGAACATTTGACAAAGACACAAGCCCTACTGTGAGAAGACAGGGTTGCTACACATCTCACAATCCATTCAGGGAGTCAGACATGTCATTAAAGTGCCATGGACTGTGGTGTGCTACCACTCTTACCTAATAGCCTGGCAGCACAGTAGGGTATGTTTGGATGTTGCATAAAGTCTTATTTGTGGAATGATATGGTTAGATTTGGGCAGAAGAAAGAGCTTGGCATACTGAAGGGTGGTTTGGAGTGAGCTGGAAGACCCAGGAGGCAAGCACTTAGTTGGAATAGCAAGTCTGGGCTGCAAATCTGGTCATCTGGGATTAAAGTAGGAATTGTGCCTTCTGAGTTCTAGAAGTTTTGCTCAGTTAAAGCATTGCCTTGGAGACCAATGTGGTGATGGACTTTGGCTTTACAAGTGGTCATTTACTGTAGACTAGTGGCCGTGGAGCCCCCATGGGACTGGACTAGGCCCTCTGGGTATGGAAGATGGTTGTTTGGCTCAAATTGTTTGGGGGATACCCAGGCAGGGGGATTGGGATCCATCCCTGGTGCATGGGCCGGCTTTTGGGGGCCCGGTTCCTGTGGTGTGATGCCTTGCGCATCCTTGGTGCGGTGGGGAGGGGCTTGGACCTGTCTAGGCTCAGTGTGCCTGGCTCTGCTGACTCCCCATGGGAGACCTTGATTTGGGGGATGTGGGGTGGCTTGGGAGGGAGGGCTAAGGGGTGGGAGGAGGGAGGAGGGTGATCTGTGGGTGGTATGTAGAGTGAGTAGAAAATTTCTTAATAAAGAAAAATGAAAAGAAAAAAAACACAAGTGGTCATTTACTAATGTTTTGATTTTTTTTATACCCCTATGGTAATGAGAGCATGTGATGAAGACTGGATACTAGCTCCACTGTAAGAAGACAGAACAGAGATGGCAGTAAGGGAAGGATGGAACACAAGACGTGGAAATTGCTGCTTTCTTGGAGCATGTTCTCCTGGGTGCTGGTAGGAGGAGTTTATATAAAGCTTCCAAATGCTTTTGGTAGTAGCATGAGCATTATGCTATACGAGGAAGGCAGATGGCTCTGATGCTGAGTGGAAAGGAACAACCCTAGATTTTTCATGCAGGCTAGAAATAGTAATAACAACAAATTGTATTCCTATAAGCATTGGGAGACAGTACTTCATTTAATCATCATAACAACTCTATGAGGAAAATGAAGCTCAGGAAATTAATAACAAAATGGAGTCAGCTGGTAAGTGGTAGAACTTGACTTTCAACCTAAGCAGCCAGGCTTGAGAATCTAGGTGCTTAATCACTGAGCCGTACCCCAAACTTATCAATAAGGGAAGAAATGTGCCCACAGATACTTGGATTATACTTATTTCCTTATCTTCTAATTATGTGTATTTCCTTATCTTCTAAATTCTATAGTAAATCACTCCAGTACAATGTGTTGCTTAAAGGAAAGGGAAGGATATTTTCCTTGCTTATGAATTCCAGGTGAGAATAATGAGCAGGGAAAGAAAGAATCAGGGACAGAAGGATTCTGGGATGCCTAATGTGCGGGCTGGACCTCTGGGATGAACTGATTGCATTTGCCAAAGTGTGTCTTACTATATCTAAAGGTGATGTCAGTGAACCTGTGCCTACTCTCGTCAGCCTGCTCCTGGCAGTGGTGGGCAGCAGAAGCCAAGATGAAAGAGGAGAGAATTAGAGGCAACTGAGACCTCACCAAGTCATGCACCTGGGAGATGAAAAGGTGAACCTTGTTTGAAATTGCATCTCCTGGGCCCACTTCAGTGCAAGTGTTTTCAGAGAGCCTTGTGCTGCACATACTTTCCTTTATTTTTAAAGCTAAAACATTGATTTTTCTAGAGACAAAAAACTCACCTTAGTTGTGAACTAATGCCTCAGTTGAATGTAGGGATCAGTGTCTCCATGGCGTTCTAACCCCTGGGCAGTGTTTCATAGCAATTACCTGTACAACCAGTTGCTATAGTTACCTATTGTCTATGCTTCAAGAAGGAAAAGATCTAGCCTTACTAGTTATCAGGAGAAATAGGTACTGAGGTCTGATAAGAAAGAATGAGACATGCAGAAAAAAATTGTATCTATACATTCATGAATTGGAAACTGTTTATCCTAGTCAGTAGCCAGTGATCAGAATCTTTCACCCCCTCCCTTTTCTATGTGAACCACCCTAGTTCTTGGAGGGAAATATGAAACAACCCTGTTTATAGCAAGTGACCACATTTTCACAGTAGAAAGTGATTAGAGCAGGGTGAGCACCTGACCCCAGCTGGGAGAACTGGATTATGTCCCTTTGAATTTGGAACTGGAGTTTTCCCCACTGGTCTATGGTTACATGGCAGGTCCTGTTCAATAGGGACCATTTCATCCTCTGTAGAATGAAAAGACAAAACATATCTATGGAGGGAGAATCAGCCTATTTGCAGAGAGAGAAGAGAAGCATCAATATTTTCTTTAGTTTCTGTGCCTTCCAAAGGCAAGAGTGTAATCCTGCCTTAAAGCCTTTCTTCGTCTTGTTTTATTATTATTATTATTATTATTATTATTATTATTATTATTATTAAATTTTTTATTCTAACATGAGTTTCTATCACTTCTTGTTAAAACTGATACTTTGTTCTGGTAAAGATGATCATATAACTGCTGTTATGGGCTAAAGTGCTTCCTTCAAATGCATGTGTTGAAGTCCTAACTCCTAGGACCGCTGAATGTCAATGTGTAGTCTGGGTCTTTGGAGAGCTGAGTAAGTTAAAGTGAAATCATAGTGGGTGGATAATCTAGTGTGCATTGTGTCTTCAGAAGAAGAGATTAGGGACACAGATGTGAGACTTTGTGAAGACATGGGGGGGATGTCACATACAAGCCAAGGTGAGTGCCCTTAGAAGAGTATAACTCCATGGCATCCTAGTCCTAAGAGACTAGTCTTCAGAGTCACGAGGTAATAAGCTCCATTTAAGTCCCCCAGTCTTTTATGAAAGCTCTGGTATTCTGATAAACCCACCACAGAAGTTGTGAGGCTATAATCCGTCCCCCATATAAATTGACCCCCATAGGAGGAAACTCAGTAATGGAGTAACTGCTGGGTCTTTTCTTAACAGTGATCCACAAAGACAACAGTGAAAAGGTCTTTTATTTTGGCTAAAAAGTAAGCCAATAATTGGTATTCAAGGACCCTGAGTGAGTACACCATTAGAAGAATACATCTTCCTAATGCCTCTACTTGGAATAAATTAAAGGTATTCAGCTTCATGTCCTCTCAAGGAAGATGCCTGCTTAGCTTTAATGCTAGGTAGGAAAATGATTCTTCTTGTTGCTGTTTTTTCCTCCTCCTAATTGGAATGAATGAGTGCTTTTTCTCCACTTCCCTCCCACTCAGGTGAAAATGAAGTGAGTCACTACCCAGGAAAGCCAGGGACTTTCAGGTTCCCCTGCTTGCCCTTGAGGTCCCAGGTCAGAGTTTATAAAGGCATTTTTATCAATTATCACCACATTAGAGAATTATGTAAAGGAAGCTGTCTAGATACTTTTAATCAGGACAAAGTATTTAGGGAAATACTGTTGAGACCCAGAAAGAGTTGAGAGGAGAGGTGAAGGCCAACAGAAGAAGATGTGGATTTAATTGAATAGCAGGGGCATTTAAAAGGTCACAGCCAAGGCCAAGGTGCAAGGGAAATACAGATCATTTGCAGACTCACATAGCACCTGTGCCAATAGACACAGCTACTGTAAGGATCTCAGATTCTGCACATGGGCTGCACAGCAAGGAGAATACCTTCAGTTTGTGTGGGGCCGGTTTTATGAAGGAGTAGCCATGGTTACGACATAAGCAATGTGGCCAGGTAAGTTTCAACTCATGCAGTTAAGAACATTGGAATATCATCTTTTTGGGAGAATTTTGTAGAGAAATGCTTTCATAAAAAATCTGAGAGTGCTTTCAGATTTTCAATGAAGAAATATTGAATAATGGCGCTTTCTTAGAAAATTGGGAATCAATCTCCCTCAAGACCCAGCTATACCACTCTTGGGCATATACCCAAGGAATGCTCAATCATACCACAAGGACACATGTTCAACAATGTTCGTAGCAGCATTATTCGTAATAGCCAGAACCTGGAAACAACCTAGATGCCCTTCAGCTGAAGAATGGATAAATAAAATGTGGTACATATACACAATGGAGTACTACTCAGCAGAGAAAAACAATGACATCATGAGGTTTGCAGGCAAATCGATGGAACTAGAAAAAAATCATCCTGAGTGAGGTAACTCAGACTCAGAAACACAAACATGGTATGTGCTGACTCATAAGTAGATACTAGATGTAAAGCAAAGGATAACCAGACTGCAACTCACAACCCCAGGGAGGCTACCTAGTAAAGAGGACCCTAAGAAAGACACAGGGATTGCCCAATGACAGAGAAATGGATGAGATCTACATGAGCAAACTGGGAGTGGGGAGGATGGAGGGCAGGGGTCAGGGGAAAGAGAGCTTAGGGGAGCGGGAGGTCCTAGCTGGATCAGGAACAGGGTGGGAGAACAAGGAGAGAGATACCATGATAAATGAAGACCCCATGGGAATAGAAAGAAGCAGAGTGCTAGAGAGGTCCCTAGAAATCCACAAAGATACATCCACTATAGTCTACTGGCAATGGTCGAGAGAGTGCCTGAGATGACCTGCTCTGGTGAACGGATGGCCGAACGTTCTAATTGTCATGATAGAACTCTTATCCAGTGACTGATGGAAGCAGATGCAGAGATCCACGGCCAAGCCCCAGGTGGAGCTCCAGGAGTCCATCTGGCGAGAGAGAGGAGGGATTATATGAGCAAGAGATATCGAGACCATGATTGGAAAAAGCACAGGGACAAATAGCCAAGCTAGAGGAAACACATGAACTGTGAACCAATAACTGAGGAACCCCCATGGAACTGGATCAGGCCCTCTGGATAAGTGAGACAGTTGATTAGCTTGAACTATTTAGGAGGCTCCCAGGCAGTGGGACCGGAACCTGTCCTTAGTGCATAAGCTGGCTTTTTGGAACCTAGGGCCTATGCTGAGACATTTTGCTCATCCTTGGTGTAGGGAAGAGTGGACTGGACTGGCCTCAACTGAATGTATCAGGCTGAGCTGAATCCCCAGGGGAGACTTTGCCTTGGAGGAGGTGGGAGTTGGGGGGTGGATTGTGGGGGAAGACTGGGGGGTGGGAGGAGGGAGGACAGGGGAATCTGTGGCTGATATGTAAAATTAAATTAATTATAAAATAAAAATATATAAAAAGGATGATTAATGAATAAATTCATGGATGTTTGTATATGTGCTAGCATGTGCTTGTACATGAGACCAGAAGATAGAAACTAATGGCCTCTGGTACAAATGAGGCCGATGGGAGTTTTTGTTTAGCTCAGGTAATCAAAAAATATCCGAGCTAAATAATTAAGAATAGAGAGAGAGAGATCACATATTTGTTTGAAAAGCCCTGTGTTTGACTCTTTTGTAAGCTCCGTGGGCATTTCTGTCTGACTACAGCAGCATGGAGACTCGTGATGGCCCATTCTCAGCCTGGCCCGAGTGGCTGCTGGGCTGTGTGACCCAGGCTCTAGAGAGGCAGACTGAAGAAGAGGTCAGGACGTGGCCTCAAAAGTCAGCAAGTGCCGGGACTTTAAAACCATCTCAGTCTTGTTCGTGGTGGTGGTGGGGGGCACAAGTATGGCAAAAGGAAGAGCATTGGGGTGGGGTGGGGTATAGGAGACCACTAAGTACTGGAAGGGGCCTAGAGCAAATTATGGCTAGCAAAACATGTTTTCTAGAGGAATGGAGCAACTTGGATACCTGCAGTGGATGACGTCACTGTCTCCCTAAGCTGACTTTTGAAGGAGTGCTGCTTGCTTGAAATTAACACCCTTTTGAGAATCAACTTTTAATGAGTTGGAGGGTGAGACATTTCATCAAACTAGTAGCTTTTTTTTTTTTTAAGAAAGGATTAGCAGTATAGACCAAAGCACCCCTTTGAAATCCCTACTCATTAATCTCATTGTTTTTGTCAGTCACTTAAAACAGAAATGTCCAAGACGATGCTCACCGCAGCAGATCTGCTTCTTCCTGGGGTCATCTCAGGAAGTAGCACCCCTCTCTGTTGAGCTTCAGAACATGATGACCTCTGTCTTGTTGCTTGACACTCTCCTCCAGAAGATTTTAACCACTAAGCCCTGTCTGATTTTTACGGTGTCACATTCTAAGTCTTTTCTCTCTTCCCTGACTTGGCTGATCTTTTGATAGGACTATCATTGCTTCGACTGGAGCAGTGGTAAAGACACCCTGTTTCTCATGCTCTCCTTGCCCTGCCACAAACTGTTTTTCATACGACAACAACAGCACGTTTATAAAGCCCCCAATCGGTCCTCTCTCCTCTTTGTTTCCAATTAGTTCAACAGCTTCCTATGGATCTCAAAACCCAACCCCATATGCTTTTGCTCATGCTTATATACTGGCAAGATTATAGTGTTAACTCTTTAAAGATTTTTCTTTTTGAATTATAATATAATTACATCATTTCCCCCTTTCCTTTCCTCCCACCAATCCCCCCCTCACATACTCCTTCTTGCTCTCTTTCAAATTTATTGCCTCTTTTTCCATTAATTGTTGTTAAATACATATTTTTATGTGCATAAACATATATATTCCTACATACATAACTACAAACTGCTCAGTCTCTATAATGTTATTGTATGTAT